TTTCTTCTTAAACCCATGAATGTATGTTTTAAGATCAGTGCCTTCATTTGGTAAGACAGGCTTTAGAATAGGAAGCCCGTGCTGAAAGCTGATTTAGTTTCTGCTACTATAATTAACGGCTTCAGCTCAGCATAGAGTCAAAGTTACTCACTATCCCCATTCTTGGAGTGTAAATCTTCACCGTGCACAGCTAGTGTAATGGTTGTTCTGTCTCTTTAAGAGACAAGCCACGCCTACTCCCTCCCCAATCCGCTTCGGCCTGAGCTCAGTCTCTTTTCCATCTTCCTCTTGGAGAGGCAGCTTCGCTTCTGCCTCTCTCCCCACTTCTCCACTTCCCTTCTTCTGTCTCTTTCTCCCCCCTCTCCTCTCTCTCTCTCTCTCTCTCTCTCTCTGCCTCCCCTTCTCCCTTCCCCCTCCATAACCCCTTGAATAAATATTCAACCTCACTCTGCATGTCCTGTCTATCCATGTCTCTGTCTCCTGCCCACCCATGTGTCTCCCTGCCTGGGACCAGCCACTGCTTAGCCTGGGACTGGCTGCTCCCAGGGCCCTCTGTCTGCCGCTACATGGCCCACTACCACCATTTGGGACCTACAGCATTTCTGCTGCCTACCGCCGCCAGGGATCTTGCAGCATTTTTTAAAAAATCATAAAAGCTAGGTTTTCATTTTCAAAAATAGAGAAAACAGAGGTGAGAGACTATCTTTTTGTTTTGGTTTGTTTTGGTTTGGTTTGGTGGTTTTTTTTTTTTTTTTTTGGTTTTTCAAGACAGTTTCTCTGTAGCTTTGGGGCTTGTCCTGGGCTTATTCTATTGACCAGGCTGGCCTTGAAGTCACAGAGATCCTCCTGCCTCTGCCTCCCGAGTGCTGGGATTAAAGGCGTGTGCCACCACTGCCCAGCGAGAGATTACATTTTAAAGTCCCTAACTAAAAATACAGTGGTCATACTTTAAGTATTTTAAGTTAATTACAGAACAAGGAATTTAATCAGAAAGAACCTTAAAAACAACTGATTACTTTCTAAAATCTGATTTAATGCTTAAGCTATGTAAAAGAGGGAAACTAAGACACATATTTTCAGTACCAATACTTAAAGAAGAAACCCAAGCTACTATGAACTACTAAAACAGTTTTAAATGCTGCTTTATCAAACAAGTAGCTTGATGGAAACTAAGAGTCCTGGTGCCTCATATACTAAAGAATGTAATGTATTTCAGTTGTATTGTAACCCAATTCCTCTCATCTCCACAATAGTTTGCCCAATTACATTCTGCCGGCTCCAAAATTATATCCAATATTTGGTCAATAATATTAGTGCAGCAACAACAGTAATCTACATTATTTCCTTTCATTTCATATCCTATGATTTCGTCACTTCTGTTTTCCCTATAACATAATAAGCTAATACAGGCTTTAGTCCTGGTTTTGGATAGAATTATGTGCCAACATCTACACAACACCCTTTCCTAATTTAAAATAACTACAAGGTTGCACATTACACAAGTAGATTTGTAATCAACTTAAAGATAATGTGTTAAAAGCACAATTAAATGTGTCATAACAGAAGAAGGCCTGGTAATTATAAACAGTGCCGTGTTTGCTGGCTTTTTAAACAGTAGTACAGAACTGTGAAAAATCGCCACCCAGTGATGCAAATGAAAACTGCAATTTGTTTTTGTGTAAAATGAGCACCCTGGGAGGATTACTTCAACTTCATTACCGAATGAACTCTGGCCATCTTATGTAAATACAAACTGGCTACTCAAGGGAAAGGGTGTTTTCTACTGGCTCTACCCCCCCTTTATTCTCATTCTGCACACTCCTCAGTCTATAGAGGCCAAGCTGTAAGAATCTTAGGAACAGGGCTTTCCATAAATGTGAGCAACTGATTGTATATGAATACTCCAGATACTCTCATTATCAAGGGCTTTGGTTCTGCCTGGAATCCAGATTTCAAGCCAGCATTAAGCAGGAATACAGGAAGAGGTGTTCTCCAGTGAGAAAAAGAGAAGGGACTGCAATTTATTGTGCCCTTCGTAGAAGCCGGTTATAAGGGTCAGTAAGAAGATAATCTAACCGATTCTGAACAGACTATTTTCAGGAAATTATTTCCTTATACTTTTATCATTCCTAAGCCAGAAGATAAGAAAACAAAACCTGTAATATATCTACTTCAGACAACAATTTTAAAATCGTATGTAGATATATACTAAACAGTTTGTTTTCTGTTTGTTTGTTTTGTGCCCCCCCCACAGGATGTATGTGTGTGTGTGTGTGTGTGTAAATATATATAGCCCTGGCTGTCCTGAAACTTGCTCTAAAGACCAGGATGGCGGATGGCCACACTCAGAGATCCACCTGCCTTTGCCTCCGGAGTGCTGGGATTAGAGGTATGCACCATTACAGCCGGTTATACTGAATGGCTTTAATGAAAATGTACCCCTGCATTCATGTACTTGAACACTTGCTCCCAAGCAGGTGGTACTGTCTGGGGAAGTTATGGAAGTTTAGGACTTGGTGCCTTGCTGGAAGAAGTGTGTGTGTGTGTGTGTGTGTGTGTGTGTGTGTGTGTGTGACAGCCTCACCTGACTCCTAGTTCCCTCTCCTTGCTTCCTGTGTAGGACTGGAAAGTTGAGATGTGATCCCTCGACTTCCCGTTCTGCCTCTGGCCACCCAGCTTTCCCTGCTGCTATGAACTTTGTTCTCTGAAACCATAGCTGAAATAAACTCTCGTCTGAGCTGCTTTGGCTGTGGTGCTTTATCACCACAACAGAAAGGTGACTAGTACATATTCCAGAACACACGGGTGCGGAACCACCCGTGCTAACAACCAACTCACTAAACTATCCCCCGTGCACCACTTAACTACCTTTCAAAGTACCTCCATGTGGCATGCTCTGAGACTAAAGCAGGTGCTACAGAAAGCCCTGCCAGAGGGACAGGACAAAAAAGGGCGGCTTTCCAGAAGAAACAAGCTCTAAAGTTTGCCACTGTATATTTATACAGCAGTCCTACAACAGATAATACAACAGTCCTAATAACTGTCAGGACTGGCATCAAGCAAGTCAGTTAAATCCTTGAATGCCGACAGGTGTAACTGAGGCCGTGGTGAAGACGTGGACCGCTCTCCCCACCTCTACAATGCGCACAGAGCAGCCTCACTATCTACTTACTGGGCCTCACTGTTAACAGTGCACCACACTTCATACGCCTCTTGTTTCATTATCAACTAAAGAAATTTAAGTTCAAAATTTCAGATGCTGATAGTGCAGCATTTAAAAACTGCAAGAGTACAGAGATTAAAAAGACAGGCTCTGGGATCAGATTACCTAGGCTAACTCCAGTTTTCTTAGACAAGGAGAAGAACCTGGAACACTGAGTTCTCTGTGTCCAGTGACAGCACCACCTCACAGGTTATTCTACGTATTTTGTGCACATTAATTTAATTCCACACCAGTCCCATAGGGCGAGTACTGATAACAAGCTCATGACACCCAAGATTGCTAAACAGCTTCCTAAAGCTAGAAACACTAACAAGTTTTGAAGCTGGGATGTCAATTCAAAGGCTCTAGCTGTAGAGGCAGCATTCTTACTTGTACTTAAATGTAAACCTGGGCACTGCCCCTGAGGAAGAAGTAAGATGATGTGACAGAAGAAAAGAGAAATGAGGCAGGAAACGAGAGCATAGAAATGATATGGGTTACAGCATGAAACTTCTGGAGAGCTAAGTAAGTCCACAGAACACCAGGTATACATTTCTTTTCTTTTCCTTTTTTTTTTTTTTTTTTTTTTTCAAGGAAATTAGTGAAGCTGGAAGCTTTGCATCTAAAACCAAACAGAGTTCACCAGACACAAATCTCAGCTGACAGTTCCTGAGAGACAAGGAGGCCTTGGAACTCTGGTCTTGTTGGGACATATGAACTAGGTGTAATACCAACTACACTGCATATTTTCCTGTTTTTGTAGGATTATGATAGAAGTGATTTCTCTTCATAAGGCTCAAACAGAAACATGCAGTCCTGGGAATATCAATCATCTCAGTCTAAGATGATCCTGGGAAGGCTTGCTCAAAACACAGCATGTGAGCCTTTGAGAAAATTAGAGTGTGGCTAGAGCAGACAGAACAGCTGGTACCGAGCATATTAGAGTAATTAAGTCTTGGAAATTCCCTCATGAAATAGCAAATCTGGAAGCCTATAAGACTTCAGAGTCTCAATCAGAAATGCTTTAAACTCCTGTCTTCCTTAGACTAGGCAAGGCAGCCCACAGCAAATGAACTTTATCTGCTGAGGCAGGAGACTTGCAAAGTAGACACCTACCAGAGAAGCTGCAAAACAACCAATGAAACATCTGATGGAGGTTACAGAGATCGCACAAAAGCAGAGCCACTGCCCATGGACAGACCTCCATGCTGGAGGCTGAAGAGGTAGATGGTAAAAAGATATATGAAAACTCTACACACTGTATGTGACCTCACACACACTAGTGTGCCACTGTCATGTTCTTGAAGTAAGTACACGGGGACAAAGAGAAAAATGCCATTTCTAATTGTGAATAGACAAAAACTGAGCAAAGTTCTCCACATGTATCTGAAGTTTATAGAGATGTTTTCTTTTCAAAAGGTAAGAAATAGAAAACCTGACTTAGTTGGAATAAATTCCTGAGAGAAGAATAAATTACCAAACTCCAGAAGACAACAGTCTCCAAGAGGCCTGAGGGTTTTCTGAAGTTTTGCTGTATGCAGATTCAGGAGCTGAGAGGAAAGGCAAGGAGCACCTGCAGCTTCCAGGAGACAGAACCTGGCTTGCTGGCTGGCAAAGGCACTTAACTCCTGACAGTAAAGGAAAGGTCAGAGAAGCAGTCTGATCCACAGTGCTTTCTAAATTACACACACAACTTATTCTGAAATTTGAAAACATAGTTTAGAAATCAATCATATAATTTCAAAACTAGTTTTTAAAAGCATTCATCTAATTAGGACTTTGTTTCTTAAAGACTCACCTAAGAGGACAAATCCATCTGCTTCTGGCTCCGATACGGAGGGCTTTTTGGATTCTGGAGGCTTTCGGAAGAAGTGGAACATAGCCGCTACTGTTGCTATCTGAAACAGACATTCTGTATGAGGTCAACTTAAATGGGACAAAGCTCCTGTCCTTCTTAGTAAAGAGCCTGTCATAGAGGTGGCACAATAACAACTCTGAGGTAGTCTACTGCCAGACTTAAAGCCATCAAACTTTCTCTAGATATTAGAAGAAAAAGGTACGAATCAAGATATATCTGTTTAGAGTCGAGAATCTCTGTCTTGAGAGTTCACAGTGCAATCACCATCCCTTTCTAAGGATGCAAAAAACATGTAGGAAAACACTCTACTTTCCTGAATATATCTTTATATACCACCTGAATCTAAAGAATTTCACAAACCACAGAATAAATATTAGTTTGAAGGGAGAAAAAAAAAAGACTTGTCTAGACTACTTCACTGCCACACTTAACTGAAGCCACATAAAGCCAAGGCCACTTAAAAAGCGGGAAAGACGATGCTGCAGACACCTTCTCCCCTGGTTACCTGTTTCAGGAACTGTGCTGTACCCATTATAAACAGAAAAACCACTGCCAACCCCAAACTCCAGTCTAGACAGATCTTTGTATCAGGCCTTCTTCTGGACCACCAACCAGCTCCCAAATGATGACTTATTAGTTAGGAATGTGTGGCCTTAGCTTCGGCCCATTTCTTGCTGTTTCTCTTCATCTGTTTCTCCTCAGGGCTTCCTACCTTTCTTTCCTCCTGTGTATCTTACTCACTGCTTCTTGTGTCTGACTGAAGGCTGCTTGGCTTCTGGCCCCAGCTGTGCCGCTCCCGTTCTTCCTTATTCTCTCCTCCTTCTCTCTTGTTCTTCCTCCTAACTATTCTCTCTTCTATTCTGCCACCACAGCTCAGAAGCTGACGACACCGCTACAGCAGCACTGAATTCATATTTTTGGGGAAACCAACTGTCAACAACCTACAATTCTGGAACAATCATTCCTAAGAGAAAAGTTAGAAGGACTTGTAAACAGCACGGTGGTCCCAGTGCTGCTTCTGATGGACACGTGATGGCGGCCATAGTAACAATGTCTAGGTGAGGTCCTGCGCAGACTCCAGGCTCTTTCCCTGCTCTATTGTTTTCAGTAATTTAAATATTATCTATAATAAGCAAATTTTACCATTGTAAAGGGAAAATATCAAATTTACTCTTAAAAATCTGTTATTTGTGTAACATGTGGGCTGGCTTGTTGGGGTATCTGTTCCCGCCCAGTACCCCACAACCGGCAAGTCCCAAAGAAAATCAACCACACAGAGATCTCTATAAGTTACAAATCTGACTGGCCCATTAGGTTAGGCTTCTTGTTAACTCTTATAACTTATGTTACCCCATTATCCTTATCTACATTAGCCACATGGCTCCGTACCTTTCTCAGCTGGGCAAGTTACATGCTGCCTCTTTGGTGGTCTGCGCAGAAGTGTCAGAGGGAGCTTCCTGCTTCCCAAAATACTCCCAATCTCTTTGCTCCACCCCTACTTCCTATCTGGCTTTCCCGCCTATACTGCCTGCCTGGCCAATCAGCGTTTTATTAAAATACATGATTGACAGAGTACAGATAATTCTTCCACACCATTTTTGCTAGCAGTGATACTTTTACTTTTCATGAGCTAAGCTAGAATTGAGTCCTCCTAATAGGCAAACGTGGGATTTCAGGGGTACATTCACATTCTCAAGCCACAGACCGGAAGAAGAAACCTGCAAATCACATGCTACACTTCAATAAAGCTATGAATATTGATAGCATATTTGGGCATTATATAAACATTTTAGTTCACAATTATTAGAAAACCATCTCAAAGTTTTAAACCAATTTGTGTTTGGACAGTTAATCTCTATGTGAAAAACAAAACACTTCTATATGTATTCAATACAACCAAAACATGAAGGACAGTGTACTCACTTCTAATGATAGACACTGACCACATTCAGCAGGTATGCCAGATGCTGGCCATGACAAATCTCAGGGCTCTCAAGTGGGGGTATGGTAGAGTGCATAATACAATTATTTTCTTCTTACTAATTCAAGAATTTCTTTTTAAGTAATATCACCCACAATAAGAATAAACATTAAGAAAACATAGATTTCTCAGGCTTATTATCTTTTTAATTTCACTAGACTCCTAGTTAATGTAACTATACTACGAGTGAAATTACTGCATGACTGAAATACAGCAGCAACCACTTTATGCTAGAAGATATATATGTATATTTATAAACACATTTTCTTCTTTAAGCTTGTGCCAAAATTTAAAAAACATGTAAATTTCATACTTCTGAAAAACTAAAATCCTAAACAATGTGTAATCCTCTTCTTCTGTAAGGATACATTATGAAGTGCATAATTATGGAAATAAAATACAAATGTAGATAAAAGTTTACTAATTTCTACTGAGAAGTACCAAAATAGTATAGGGCTGTGCTCCAAGCTTTTTGCAGTTTTAATCTTAGATTAAGAATGCTTTAAACAGCACAAATCACTTCCAAAAGATCACTACAGACTACAAAAGCCTGGAAGACTGCTCCTTAGGCCATGTGATGGGTAGAGAATCAATTCAGATGGAACAAAAAGGAAAGATTTTTGTAAAAGGATCAATGTGAACAAGGGTGTTCATAGGACATCAGAGGAATTACCCTCACTAGAGTCACTATGTAACATGATGGAGGGCCTGCTTGTTGGGGTTTCTGTCCTGCCTGGTCTCTGTTCTCCCACCAGGTCCCACAGCTATTTAGCCCCAAAGAAAATCACACAGAAGGTCTACATTAGGTTATAAACTGATTGGCCCATTGGCTCAGGCTTCTTACTAACTCTTATAACTTATATTAGCCCATTATTCTTATCTATGTTAGCCACATGGCTAAATATAACAACTAGACTAAGAAAGGAAAGACCTGGGAGAAGGGGTACTGAAATAATATGGAATACAGCTCAATGACTCTCATTGTACAAAATGCAGCTAAAGAAGACTCGGGAAAAAATGAATGACACATCCAGCAATAGAGAAAAGAAAGCAATTAAGCTGAGTAAGAAAAGTAGGAAAGGACTTTTAAAGAGAAGATAAACAGTATAAAGAAGACGTCATAATGAGATCCCCTTATTACTTTGTATGCTAACCTAAAAAATTCATAACAAAAAAAGAAAACAAATTGTTTTTCAATATGATTTTAAGGCATACTAGAAATTTAAATGTCATGAAAAACTTAATTTTTAGGCAGGTGGGAGAGCTAGCCCTGAGGTCAGAAGGGCAGAAGAGCTGTCCCAGCCTGCAACCAGCTGCAAGACTTGTGGCCGCACAACAGACAGCGCCATTGGCGAGCCAGCCCTGATACTGTGAGCATGGAAGAGCTGTCTCCATTACTCACTCACATGTGGTGGCATGAGAGGGAGAGACATGCCTTCCCCCCACACCCATCAACACCTGAGGCAGGTGGGAGACCCAACCCTGAGAACATGAGGGCAGGAGAACTGCTCTTGGTGGCAAGGGGTGAACATACCGGGGCAATGCAGAAGACCTCATCCTGGTGCTGAGGACAAGGGAGAGTGGGTAGGCTGACCAACCCTGCAATACCCAGACCCAGAACCAGGATGATGGGTTGGCCAACCCCAGTGTCCACCCGATCTGTGATCTGCTGGAGCATGTGAAAGGACCATTTCTGCAGACCCAAAGTTGCAGGACTTCCACAACACAGGACATCAGCAGGATAACCAAGAGGAGTTCCAATGATGGCCCAGCATCGATAGTGTAGCAGAAGCCAGAGGCCTCCAACCAGACCAATGACTCTTTACAATCAACAGTTGCTAGTAAGGATACATGGACAAAAGGGTTTACTGCGTGACTCACTGTGTCACACTACGACTTCCATGACAGGAGCCCCCCCCCTTGTTTTTTCTGTTCTTTTCTCTTTTTCCTCTTAAATTTCATGGAGGGGGGGTGTGCTGCAAGGGCAGAATGGTAAAAGGCAGACACACAGGGATAGGAAAATGAATGGAATTGAGAAACATGATATGAAACACACAAAGAATAAATAAAGCTTAAAAAAAGAAAACAAATAAGCCAAAAACCTACTTTTTATAAGGAAGCAACTAGTTCAATTTTGTAAAATATTACATTGCTTGACTGAATATTATGCATACTGGAGCTGTCCTCAGATGATAACTTTAATGGAAACTTTTAATAGTCTAAATCTAATCAACAAAGAGACATTTCTGAAAGACTTTAGCTGTTCTACGTCATCCCTGAGGACTGTCTACTGTGGCTGTTTTGGCTACTCTGTAAATCTGCTGCAGTAAGAGACACCCTGTAGAGAGCTGAGAGACAAATAACCCTGTTAATCAACATGATTCTGATAAAATGCAATTGTTGCCCTGCTATTAGTGGCCATAGAAAACTCCTTATTTGACCGCAAAGCTATGTTGTCTCTGGTTTTCTGGTAGTCGGCTGCAGTAACTCACTATGTCCTCCTTCAGTTCAGTAGTCTTGGCAGGTTTTATATTCGTAAGAGGCATGAATTCTTTCAAAAATTCCTTCTTAAGTACCAGTTAATTCACCAATTTGGATTTCCCAAAAAGTTGCCTCCTATTCTTCATTCTACTTAATATTTTTGTTTTGTGGCTTTTAAAATATTAGTTGAATGAGCAAAAGATAAAGATATTTGACAAAACAAACAAGGAAAGGCATTTCAGGCCACATCATGGATAAACTACACAAAAAGCAAGAAAACTATTAAACCACAATGGTAAAATAAATGTATTTTCTACTTCTTTGACTTATACTCACAGTACTAATACATAAATAAACTAAGTAACTAAATATTACATCTAGCAGGGTTTATTTACAGTATGGCAGGGAGGCACACGACATGGAAAACATACAGAAATCAGAGGACAGCTTGCAGGAATCAGCTTCCTCCCTCTACCATGTGGCCCTCAAGGAAGAAATTCAGGCAGTCAACATTGGCAATAAGAGTCTTTACATGTTTTTTGTTGTTTAAAACTATAGATCCCAACCCTACAGTCTCA